AAGAAAAAAAAACACATGAAGCACAGTCCTCATTTTACGATGGCATTGGTCTCTGGACAATTTCATCTCCACCACATCAGTCTAATTGTTTGATTATATTTGCTGACAATTAAATATTAATGATGTAATGACACAGTGATTGCTACAGATCTCAAATGACTACAATACTGACATTTTGATATCTGTGGAAAAAAAAACCCTCCGCAATTCACGGGATGATGTAGAACTGTTTGAGTAAACACAGAGGTAAGCTTACTGGTCAAAATACTGAGCCGTAAGGTATAGTGGTGGGGGGAGGGATGTTTACCCCTTCTTAAAATCTAAATGCCTCATTAAATCCGGGGCAATTTTTCAAGACCTGATGTCTAGCTGTCCTACAGCATCAGAGCCAAACAGCAGTCTTGTCTGAGTACTCTAAGTAAGGAAATTGAAACAGTATCTTAGCTTATCTTGTACTGGTTCAACCATCAGCAAAGAAATGTTTAGACAAATTTTATGCATTATGTAGAGCAAATATCAAAACAGAGCACTTGGCAGATGCAAGGGAGGCCTCATTAAAATTCCGTAATTAAATCTCCATACTAAATGGAGTCTGCTCCTGGACTTTTTTGCAGGCTACTGTTTCTATTTGCTGCAAATATTGAGCTAAACTTGCGTCAAGAATGCACTCCTTTCTCCACAAGGTTCTAACCCTGAAATAAATACAACAGACTGATCTGATTGGGAATGTGATGTGTCACTTGGCCATCCAGAGAAACACCCTTTTCTGTCCTTCCTCTGTTGCAAAGGAAAGAGTTGGTAATAAAAGTAATCATCACCCTTTTGTTACACTCAGACACCAGGGGAAGTAAGGGATATAAGGATAGGTCAGGGAGGTGGTTTTCAGATCACCGATTGGTATAATCTTAGAACATAGGAACAGGAGCCCTGAGTGGCTGAACCACTTCAGAGGGCAGTTAGGAGTCAACCACATGGTTCTGGGTGTGAAGTCACATGTAGGCCAGACCAGGTAGAGTCAGCTGACTTCCTTCCCTGAAAAACATTAGTGAAGCAAATGTTCTTTTAGCAACAAGCATCATGAATAATAATTTAAATTCCACCAACTGTTGGGGTGGGATTTGAGCCGCTGCCCACCTCAGGCCTGCACCTGTGGTTGACTCCATCAGTGACACTATCACTAAGTCACCATCTCAACTCTTCGTCTTCTTCTGGATTCTAGTTTTGTTCAAGTGTCATAGCAGGACTAAATATTGATATTCTGACTTTAACAGTGGCATCTTATCCTAACAGAACTAAAGTCCTGTTCTGGTAGCTCACATTTCTTATAGCAATATCAATGGAAAGTGACCATAAACAACCAGTGTGCCACCATAAGCAACGGCTCTCATCATGCCGTCAATGCTCATCCAGACACAATAACTTCAATTGTAAAACCAAGTCTTGTGATTGCTTTAAACTGGTGAGGACAGTACCGGTTGAGGGTTAGCATGGCACCCCTCTCTTCCCACAAGACCTCAAGAATTAGGAACAAGAGTAGGCCATTCAGCCCATCAAGCCTGCTGCACCATTCTATAAGGTCATGATTGACCTGATTGTAGCCTCAACTCCACCTTCTTGTCTGCCCCTCTCAAAACTCTTGACAGGAAACTTAACTCAATCTTGAATATATTCAGTGACCCTACCTTTACTGCCCACTGGTGAAGGAACTGCCAAAGACTAACAAAGATCCGAGAGGACAATATTTTTCTCATCTCAGTCATAATTAGGAGACTAGTTACTTTTAAACTGTGTCCCCTAATTGGTGGTATAGTGGACAGTGAAGCAGGTTATCTAAGATTACAAAGAGACCTTGATCAATTGGGTCAATGAGCTGAGGAGTGGCGGATGGAGTTTTAATTTGGATAAATGTGAGATATTGCATCTTGGTAAAACAAAGAAGGGCATGACTTATACAATTAATGGTAGGGCCCTGGGTGGTATTGTAGAACAGACAGACCTAGGGGTTTAGGTACATAATTCTTCGAAATTCACATCACAGGGTAGACAGGGTGGTAAAGAAGGCGTTTAGCACGCTTGCCTTCATTGTTCAGACCTTTGAGTATAGGAGTTGGGACATCATGTTGAGGTTGTACAGGACATTGGTGAAGCCTCTTCTAGAATATCGTGTGCAATTCTGGTCACCCTGTTACAAGAAGGATATTATTAAGCTGGAGAGGGTCCAGGAAAGATTTACCCACATGTTGCCAGGATTGCAGGGTTTGAATATAAAAATAGGCTGGAAAGACTGGGACATTTTTTCACTGGAGTGTAGGAGGTTGAGGGGTGATCTTATTGGGGTTTATAAAATCATAAGGGGCATAGATAAGGTGAATGATGAGGGTCTTTTCCATAAGTTGGGGGAGTTCAAAACTAGGGGGCATATTTTTAAGGTGAGAGGAGAAAGACTTTAAAAAGGACATGGAGGGCAACTTTTTATACAGGGAATGGTTAGTGTGTGGAATGTATTGCCAGAGAAAGTGATGGATACAGGTAAAGACATTTAAAAGAAATCTGGATAAGTTTATGAAAGGAAAGGATTGGAGGGATATAGGCCAAATGCTGGCAAATGGGACTAGATTAATTTGGGATACTGGTTGGTCTGTAGGGTCTGTTTCCATGTTGCATAACTCTATGACTCTCTGTGACTGTAATTCTAGGCTCCTCAATGAGGGGAAACATCCTTTCAGCATCCAACCTGTTCAAGTCCTCCCATGATCTCATATGCTTCAGTAAGATCACCTCTCATTCTTCTAAATGCCAATGGACACAGGCCCAACCTGCTCAGTCTCTCATCACACCAGCATTTCTATCAGCCCACCTCTGTGTATGGCAGTCCCAATGGTTTGATTCAAATAAACTCTAGTCATAGAGAGATTCCAAGGAGGAATGAGACCATTAAACCCATCCAGTCCATACAAGTTCTAGGATGGCCAATGAAGCCAACTTAGAGTTTTGATTCATAATCAGTGGAGCAATAATGACTGTAGCAGAGCAGGGATGATTGGACAGAAAAGGAAATAATTTTAGATGTTGTTGTTCCCCTGATTCCAAACTGAGATAAAGAACAGGTTGGTCTTCACTGACGTGGACTCAATCCAACAAATACCTGCAAGATCCTGGGACATGATGAAAGTTTCATCTGGAGCCAAGTAGGCTGTAATGAATGGATGTGTTCACTTTAGGTAGAATGTGAAATGATTAATTGCCGTAAAATGTAAACGGGGCTCATTTTCAAGCTATGTGCTCCTCTGGGGTCTGGAACCAGCAGACACAAGGAGGAAGTGCATACAATACACTTGAGTTAGGAGCAGGAATAGCCACTTGGCATCTTGAACCTGCTCTGCCACTTACAACGATCAAAGCAGATCTGATTACTCCTTCCAATATTTCACTCCCTTGTACATCAAAACTCGATCCACCTCCACCTTAAAAATAGTCAAAGGCTCTGCTCGCACTGTCTTTGAAGAAGAAAGTTCCACTGACTCGTGACCCTCTGTCTTTACAGAAGAGGAAATGGAAGAATGGTCACATGACACTCCACAGGACTGCTGTCAGCTCAGGGCAACACAGAAACTAAAAAAAATCAGGAGAGGTGGTGAAATAACTGTATAGAGACCAGGATCTCGTCACCAAGTCACCCTTTATTTACATGGACTCTGACCAACCGCCACAAAGCTACTCCCTAGACTAAGTGGACCTTCTGAATCCCCTGTTTATATTGGTCAGACAGGACTCCCTGATCTGCCCAGGTTAACCACCCCAATCAAGAATCTCATAGTCAATGAGATTCACCTGTCCCTTGTTCCAATCACTATAGGGGACAATGGAGAATTGATGTTGCCTGTTTCGTCTTATTTTGCAGGAGTTAAAATAATCTTTTATGTGTCCCTATGTTTGAAGTACAGGAGACATCTCTCAACAATGCTGAATTTGTTCAGGTTTAGACCCCAGAGGAGCTTGAAAATGAGCCCCGTTTACATTTTACGGCAATTAATCATTTCACATTCTACCTAAAGTGAACACATCCATTCATTACAGCCTACTTGGCTCCAGATGAAACTTTCATCATGTCCCAGGATCTTGCAGGTATTTGTTGGATTGAGTCCACGTCAGTGAAGACCAACCTGTTCTTTATCTCAGTTTGGAATCAGGGGAACAACAACATCTAAAATTATTTCCTTTTCTGTCCAATCATCCCTTTCATCTGAAAACCACTTGAGCTGGGCTCTTATTGGTGCAGCAGAGATGGCTAGTTTGGGGAGCAATTGGCAATACAAACACCAACGATTACCAAAGCCTTCCAATTCAAATATTTGGCAGGTAATTGATTGTTAGAATTATTTATCTTCTCAGTTCAGTCATAGAACCATGCAGTACAGAAGGGGTCCTTCAGCCCATTGGGTCTATGCCAGCAAAAACATATCCAACCTGCACTAGTCCTGCTTTCCTGCACCAGGCCCATTGCTTTGAATTGTTACATTTCAAATGTTCATCCAAGTACATTTTAAAGGTTGGGAGGTTTCCCACCTCAATCCCCATCCCAGATTTTCACCACCCTCACGTGAAAAAGGTTTCTCCTCAGCGTCAGAGGGAGCTCAATGTTCTGTGTGCCACTGGGTTCATGCGCAGTATCTATCTCTGACTCACAGTCCTTACAACAGTGCATACTCGAGATGAGGAGGCTTGAGGACTAGTCTGTGCTGCGTACCAGCCTCCACTGACGGCAGCGTTTTCCCAAGACACTATGTTTAGTTGCACTCAGCAGTTAAAGGGACAATGTCTTGAATATTATGTATCAACCAGTCTGCCATTCTGTGAAAGCCTCCACTCAAAATATGCCAAGTGGTATGTTTTGCAAATTACTAAATGACTTTGAAATGCAGCCAACAATCAACAATAAAAGCTCGGCTGTGTTTGCTTCAAAAGAAAACATATTTTTATTTAATATAAAATTTGCATACCTGGCAATGTACTTTTGGTAAATATTCGCATCATCAGTCATGGCACCTGGCTTCTCTGATGACAGTCCGTTCCTATGTTTTTTTAAGTAAAGGAAAAGGAAGGTTTGATTTCAATAAGTTTCACGTTTGAACAAAAAATATAAACCGACAGGATGACTCTGAGAGTCAATGCTCATTTCATAGTCTGTCTTTCTGGCTGAGACAGTTTCTGGATGTTTAAATGTCTAAGTATTGAAACTTCACCTCCATTATAGATTTAAAGTAGAATGATTATGAGAACAATGCTTGACAGATTTTAACCCTTCAATTTCTCTCTTCATCTACAATTAGAACCATTTACAGATTGAATGACTGGGAGCTAAAGGTGAATTCTACACAATGTGGCTTCAAGATGAATTGATGGTTCTGTCAGTATATTTGGGTGCATCCCTTTATTAGGTCTCATTATCATCCACCGACAATCCATAAATCTTGGAATGACTCCCTTACACACGGATGGTGAGTGTGTGAAATATCTGGAATTGCTTCAGGGAGAAAACTGAATGGATGAGTCAGTGTGAAGAATAAATGGATGTGTGGCATTCCAGGTGTGTAACTGATATTTTATCTCATAAATGTGAAATTGCAGGACAATATCCCAATTTTGGCACAGGACATCCATTGAAATCTGATTCATACATTGATTTTCTACATTCTGATGTCGATATGTTTCAATTCTGCTTCCTGTGGTGATGCAGTATTTCAATGACAATGTTTTAAAGTGTAACAGAAACAGAAAGTGATGGAGAAACTCAGCAGGTCTGGTAGCAGCTGTGGAGAGAGAAACAGAGCCAATGTTTTGTTCCAGAATGCTTCAGAACACGGTCACTGGACCGATATCATTAGCTCTGCTTTCTCCCCGCAGACACTGCCAGACCTGCTGAGCTATTCCAGCAACTTGTGTTTTTGTTCAACAGTTCTTTTATTTTATTTGAATGTTTTGAAGTGACTTGGTTTGAGGTTCAGTAGGGACAGGTTTATCACGGCCCTCAGAAAGCTGAAATTAAAACACTAATTTCAGTTTATATCTTGAAACTTGTAAGATCCCAAGGGCACTTGACTGGGTGGATGTGCAAAGGATGTTTCCCCTTGTGAGAGTATCTAGAAATAAGGATCATAGTTTAAAGTTAAGGGGGCACCTGTTTAAGACGGAGATGAGGATTTTTTTTTCTCTAAGAACATGAAAAGTCTCAGCACAGTTGAGAGAAAAAGGAATTCTCTTCCTTACAAAAACAGAAATTGCTGGACAAGCTCAGTGGGTCTGGCAGCATCTGTGGCGAGAAATCAGAGTTAATGTTTCGAAACATTAACTCTGATTTCTCTCCACAGATGCTGCCAGACCTGATGGGCTTATCCAGCAATTTCTGTTTCTGTTTCTGATTTACAGCATCTGCAGTTCTTTCGGTTTTTAAAAATTCTCTTCCCTTAGTCCATTACAATTCTGTACCCCACTGATCCCTGAACCTCTGCCCTGTCACCTCCTGACCCCCAACCGCGCTGGGACATAGAGTGATGAGTTTCTATCATTACAAGGCAGGTAGGCTAGAACTGACTATCGTCTCTGGTTGGCCAAAGTGCTCAAGGAGGAGTGAGTCAGGCCTGGTGTCATGCCTGAAATATTCAGGGGAAGGCCAGGGATCAGTCCCCACCCATCCTCCAGTTTCCTGCTTGAGGGGCCACAACACTGTAATGTCAAGACCACGCACTGGAATGGAATTTGACTCATTCCTACTCAGGTCCCTGGGTCTTCATTTTGCAATCTGCTTACAGAATACTGAGCGGCCTGGAAAGAGTGGGCGTGGAGAAGATGTTTCCACTAGTAAGAGAGACTAGGACCCAAGGGCACAGCCTCAGAGTGAAGAGATTACTCTTTAGAACTGAAATGAGGAGGAATTTCTTCAGCAAAAGGTTGGTTATTCTGTGGAGGCCAAGTCATTGAGTCTGTTTAAGACAGAGACAGATAGGTTCTTGATTAGTAAGGGGATCAAGGGTTACAGGGAGAGGGCACGAGAATGGGATTCAGAAATATATCAGCCATGATCGAAAGGCAGAGCAGACTCAATGGGCTGAATGGTGTAATTCTGCTCCTGTATTTTATGGGTTTATACCCGATCTTGTTGAGTACCAATTAGTAGCTGAATTTATCTACAAAGCAAAGGACCAGCTCTTGAAAGTACCCAGTTGGCTGCAAAATGCCTCATGACACCCTGAGGATGAGCAAGACCCTACAGAAATGCAAATCCTTTCTTTCCTTTAATGTGAGCTTCTCCAGCTCATGAATAGAATGGCAAAATCCACCCGGATTAGCACAATCCCAACCCTCGGAAACGATCTGTTGCTCAGACACCTGAAAGAGGTTCAGCTCCACCCCCCTGAATTAGGAAGGGGGCTCAATGCCTTCGTACTTAGCTCTCTCCCACTGTCCAACAGCTCCCCAAAACCCCCAACAGCACACACCCTCTGAATCAGCAAGGCATAATCTTATTCTTACCGGTTTACTGCAGATACATTCGAACTGGGCAGTCTCCTGCAGAGAAAGTAATGAACAGAGTTAAACCTTCTACAAATACACTTTGAGATATTTTGTCATTCCTGTCTTTTCCCTGGTCAGCTGCTATTCCTAGGTTAGGTGGACCAAAGTGGTCCATGAACTTTGACAGAAGGCTCAGGGGAGTGACCTCTGCAATCAAATTGCTCTTCTGGATGTTTGGTTTTCACCGGAAGCAGCTGGTTGGGTCCTTTGTTCCATCGTTCATTGTTAACTCATTGGCACTTGGCTCCAAGTGTCATTCTTAACCATGATGATGAGGACCAGCATGTGACCCAGGATAAAGATCAAACTGGATTGCCTAAGTCAGAAGTCACACGACACCTGGTTATAGTCCAACACGCCTGTTTGAAGTCACAAGCTTTCGGAGTGCTGCTCCTTCATCACATGAACCTGAAGAAGGGACTATGCTATGAAAACTTGTGACTTCAAACAGGCGTGTTGGCCTATAACCAGGTGTCGTGTGACTTCTGACTTTGTCCACCCCAGTCCAACACTGGCACCTCCACATTATGGATTGTCTGAGGCAAGCACACAAGAATTTAATTTGTATTCACTCGTGGGACATGGGCGTTACTGGCTAGGCCAGCATTTATTGCCCTGTCCCAAGTTGCCCCTTGAGAAGGTGGGGCTGAGCTGCCTTCTGGAACTGCTGCAGTCCATGTGCTGTCGGTAGACCCACAGTGTCATTAGGGAGGGAATTCCACAATTTTGACCCAGCAACAATGAAGGAACAGTGATATATTTCCAAGTCAGGGTGGTGAGTGTCTTGGAGGGGAACCTGCAGGTGATGGTGTTCCTATGTATCTGCTGCCTTGTCCTTCTAGATGGAAGTGGCCGTGGGTTTGGAACATGTTTTCTGAGGAACCTGCGCGAATTTCTGCAGCGCATCTTGTAGATAGTACACACTGCTGCAACTGAGCGTCGGTGGTGGAGGGAGTGGATGCTTGTGGATGTGGTGCCAATCAAGCGGGCTGCTTTGTCCTGGATGGTGTCAAGCTTCTCGAGTGTTGTTGGGGCTGCACCCATCCAGGCAAGTGGGGAGTATTCCATCACACTCCTGACCTGTGCCTTTTAGATGGTGGACAGGCTTTGGGGAGTCAGGAGGTGAGTTACTCACCACAGTATTCCCAGCCTCCAAACTGCTCTTGTAGCCACTGTGTTTATGCGGTGAGTCTAGTTGAGTTTCTGGTCAATGATAACCCCCAGGATGTTGAAAGTGGAGCATTCAGTGATGGTAACACCATTGAATGTCAAGGGGCAGTGGTTAGATTCTCTCTTATCAGAGATGGTCATTGCCTGGCACTTGACTGATGTGAAATGTTACTTGCCACTTGTCAGCCCAAGCCTGGATATTGTCCAGATCTTGTTGCGTTTGAACACAGACTGCTTCAATATCTGAGCAGTTGCAAATGATGCTGAACATTGTGCAATCATTGGCGAACATCCCCCGTTCTGACCTTCTGATGGAGGGAAGGTCATTGATGAAGTAACTGAAGATGTTTGGGCCTAGGATACTAAATTGAGTCACTGGATGAGATTCAGGAATGGCAGAATTGTCCAAATTCCTATCTCACATCCAGATCCATCTGAATCATCTGGTCTGGATTTCCAACTGAGGATCACCAGCTCAGAGAGTGAAGCCTGGCACTTGTGATTCCTGCCGATCCCATAATCCTTCCAAATCAAGCCATTGGCATGCTTTTCCCTAGTTCTGGTGGAATGGTGAAGATTATGAATTTGTTCTGGAGATAAGTGCTGAATGTCAAAGTCTGCATTATTCCAATTTTGTGGCAGCAATGACAATAGTAATTGTGGTGAAATATTCCAAAGGGCTCCACAAGAGAGTCATCAGTCAACATTTGACACTGTGTCTTGTTAGCGGATATCAGGGCACACAATCAAAGCATAAAGAGTTTTTTTATGGAGCAGCCAAAAGGTGGAGAGAGAGGCACAGAGGATTGGGGAAGGAATTCCAGAGCTTGGGTCCTTGGCACCCAAGGGCACTGCTGCCACTGGCATAGTGAATAAAATCTGGGAAGGTGAGGGACCAGAGTTGTAGGACTTTGGAGATGATCAAAGAGATTTGTTTTTTCTTTCATGGGATGTGGGTATTGTTGGCCATCCCTAATTTGCCTTGAACTGAGTGCCCCTTTCAGAGGGCAGTTAATAGTCAATCACATTGCTGCAGGTCTGGAGTCACATGGAGGCCAGACCAGGTATCCTTCCCTGAAGTGCATTAATGAACCAGATGGGTTCTTGCAACAATCAATTCATGACCTCAATCATTCAGAGAAGCTTTTATTTCCAGATTGATTCGTTTTGTTGAAATTCCCTCAGGTGCCCTGGTGAGATCTGAACCCGTGTCTCTGAGCCATTAGCCTGGGCCTCTGGATTACTAGGCCAATGGCATGAGCACTGCATCATCAATGCTCCATAATGTTTAGCTAGAGGAAAGATTTGGGAACTAGGATGAGAATTTAAAATTGAGGGATTATTTCCCTGGGAGCCAGTGTGGGTCAGTGAGGGCATTAGTAATAATTGAAGGGGCCTTGGTGCAAATGGTGAGGTGCCCAGCAGGTTCTGATCGATCCTGAGTTTGGGGCAGGACGTGTCAGGACCAGAGACAACAAAGGTACAGGTGAGGGTTTCAGCAGTGGATCAGCTGAGGTCATGAGGGGAAGTTGGGCACTGTCACGGAGCAGGGAATGGACAGTCTTGATGAAGGCACAAGTATGTTGTAGAAAGGTCAGCCGGGGTCACAGAGAGAAATGGAGTGAGTCCCGAGGGGCTGAAACTTGTGGTGTGGACTAAAGATGATGTCTTTAATCTTCTTAGCGAAGATTAGGTAGAAGAAATTGTTGCTTGTTCTTGTATTGAGGGCCAGTTTGCACCGAACTGCCTGCCCTATTTTGTTTTGAACTCGGAAGAGGAAAATTTGAAGACAGTAAAGCAAACAGCATTAATTGCTTTCATCAATAACTATCTTAAATTGAAAGAGAAAGTATATTTAATGTAGTGTCTCCTTAAAATCATAAGCCAATACATTTATTTCAATATGTGAGCAAATATGAACAAAACTTAACCTTGTTCACATCCTGGGATATGCAGTGTATAAACTGAACGAACAGCTCACTGACATTGCGGTTTGCTGAGGCTCTCAAACATGAGCCTGAAAATTCCCATCTTTTGGGTTAAAGCCTTTCAACATTGCTGGAAATGTGAGCAAAATAAATACACTGGCAAAGTCTATGAGCTGGAGTTGACGGTCAATGCTGGAGGAGTTATAGTCATTACAATAATTTTTTGTAGCTGTATGGCTGCAATCATAAATTGCGATTACAGTAACGGAGCAGTGCTCGAGAACATTATGAGCAGCAGCAGAAGTTGAGTAAGATTCACTTCCTGAACTGATCATGGTTAAAGCTGCAGAGTTTATGGGTAAGATCAGTAAGGATCACAAAATACGTACCCCGCGGAGTCATCCAGCGAAGGTTCAGCTTTGGAAAGGCGGCTGTGTGAGAGATTTAAAACAAAGTTAACAACTCATGTATTGACTGTAAGCTGGAAGTCAGTAAGCATATGACACCTTTGCAGTCAGAAGGACCTCGTTAAGACATCAAACGACAGGAAAGTTAAAATACTGTTTAAGAGATTATTTCAGCTGTCACTGAAATCCCGACTGCTCGCTGCCCAGTCTCCTCAGTGATGAACAACCCTCAGAGGAATACACAGACTGTCTGATGTCCAGCAAACACAGGAGGCAAAGCATTATCTCCTCCATCAGAAACATGAAGATTGAACACCCATGGAGGTATACTGTATAGAATATGCCATATAGGATGCATCACAAGAAGTGCATCATGTAGAATGTTCATATAGAATTAATCACATGAAATGTGTCAGAAAGAGTGCATCATATAGAATGAAACATATAGAGTACAATATATAGAATGTTGTATTGAATGCACTACATAAAATGTGCTACGTAGAATGTGTCATATAGAATGCATCATGTGGAATCTGCCATGTGGAATGTATCACCTAGAATGTATCAGATAGAAGGTAACATATGGAATGCTGTATAGAAGGTGTCATATAGAATGCACCATGTGGATTATGTCATGGTGGACACATGGTTCATTGGCTCCACGTGAATTTGGAAGCTGCCGATCCGGAGCCTGATCTTCCAAACAAGTTGCCCCTGGCCTGAGACTCTGCTGCACAAACCAGGGTGAGCCAATCAGTACAGTTTGTATCAGAGCTTTCCAACATTGGGACTGCACAGTGTTTACTGACCGTGCCGCTCAGCACTTTACAGTGTCTGGCAACTACAGGGAGGATCCCAAACTGACAGTTACCGGGCCAGATTCTCTACTATTGTAAATTCCAGTATCGCATTGTCATGTCCATAATTCCAACAAATATAACCACTGTAACATCTCAGTTGATGAGAGAGAGATATGTTTTCTTGCCATGTTTGAAATGAGCTCTTTACTGTATTACCCTCACTCCTTCTTTTCTGGGAATCAGTGACTTTTTCATTTCTCAGAAAGGTGTCAGTCCCTCATCTGCTGCTGCCCATTTCCACTCAAAGGGCCTGGAATAACCAGCAATCCTGAATTCACTCTTATTAATTCACACGCACACCCAGCTCCACTCTACAGAACTAAAGAAGAGTCAGACCAGACTCAAAGCATTAACTCTGTTTCTCGCTCCTCCTGCTGAGCTTCTCCAGCATTCTCTGTCATTATTCCCTTCTCGACTCCTCCACTGTTGCTACATTATCCAACATTCAGTTCTGGATGAACAGAAATCTCCTCCTATCAAATACTGGGAAGACCAAAGCCATTGTTTTTGGTCACCACTCCAAACTTCATTCCTTTAGCAACTGACTCCATCCTTCTGCCCTGGCAATAGTCTGACACTCAATTAGACTATTTACAATCTTGGCATCACACTTGACCCAGGGATCACATTTCTGCCATTTACCCTGGCCACTACGAAGATTACCTATTTCTTTCTCAGTAACATTTCCCGATTCCACTCCACCTCAGTCCACCTGTTGCTGACATCCTCCTTTAGGCCATCATTATCTGTAAGTTCAATGTTTCCAACACACTCCTGGCTGCTCAGCCACATTCTGCTGCCCCTCCACAAACATGCAGTCACCCAAAATTCCATTGCCATTGTCTGAACTCAGAAAATCACATTCATGGTGGCACAGTGGTTAGCACTGCTGCCTCACAGTGCCAGGGACCCGGGTTTGATTCCAGCCTTGGGCGACTGTCTGTGTGGTGTTTGCACATTCTGCGTGGGTTTCCTCCGGGTGCTCCGGTTTCCTCCCACAGTCCAAAGATGTGCAGGTTAGGTGGATTGGCCGTGCTAAATTGCCTGTAGTGTTCAGGGATGTGTAGATTAGGTGGGTTATTGGGGGATGGGTCTGGGTGGGATGCTCTGAGATTCGGTGTGGACTTTTTGGGCTGAAGGGCCTGCTTCCACATTGTAGGGATTCTATGATGATTCACACCATCACCTGTGTCCTCACTGGCTCCAAGGCAACTGCTGTCTTAACTTGAAAGTTTTCCTCCTTGTTTTTCAAGTCCCTCCAAGGCCTCACACCCGTCCCTATCTTGGTAATCTCCTCCATTTCTGGTGTCTTATCCGTCTCCATTTTGAATCGATGCTCCACTGGGGGGGTCCATGCTTCCTGTTGCCTTTCTCCAATCTCTCTCCCCATGTACGAGGCTCCTTCAAACCAGCATCTTGGACTGAGCTTCTGATCCCTGAACTAATACCTCATTATATGATTTGATGTCACATTTTGTTTTATAACACTCTTAAGAAACACCTTTGGGGCATTTCATCACACCATAGGCACTATATAAGGGTAGGTAGTTGATTGATGTTGTTATTTTACTGACCAACCTGGTTATCTGTTTGACGTAAACCTATCAGGGGTGTTTTAATTCTGACAGGCAGACAGAGGGGATTGTGTGCAGTGGCCAATCTGTGTTGACTTTAATGACTGGGCCTGGTTGACATGGAGATGTCCATGGAAAGGCCTGGAAGGGAGGTGTCAGTGACCCACAGAGATCCCACTTTGCTTGAGGGAAGTTGTGGTGCAGTGGTTTCAGGGTGATCTGCTACTGGGGAGGTGGCATAATGCAGGCAAGAGAGGTTTATTGACCCCTTAAGAAGAGGCCAAAGAGAGCAGGCAGCTATGGCCTCTTGGTTACTTTGGCCAAGACACAGAATGTGGACTCTTTCCAGGGCAAAGGACCATTGGTGACGTTAGGACCATAACTGATTTTTGTTTGGGACTTGGGCATTGCTGGCCGGGCCCAGCATTTATTGCCCATCCCTGGTTGCCCCATGAGAAGGTGTTGGTGAGCTGCTTTCTTGAACCACTGCAGTCCATGTGCTGCAGGTAGACCCACAATGCTGTTAGGGAGGAAATTATAAGACATAGGAGCAGAAATTAGGCCATTCAGCCCATCGAGTCTACTCCACCATTCAGTCATGGCTGATAAGTGTCTCAACCCCACTCTCCCACTTTCTCCCCCATAACCCTTGATTCGCTTGACAATCAAGAACCTATCTCTCTCAGTCTTAAATATACTCAATGACCTGGCCTCCACAGCCTTCTGTGGCAGTGAATTCCATTGATTCACCATTCTCTGGCTGAAGAAGTTTTGACTTATCTCCGTTCTAAAAGGTCTTCCCTTTACTCTAAGGCTGTGCCCTCAAGTCCTAGTCTCCCCAGCGACAGTGAAGGAACGGCAATATATTTCTAAATCAGGATGGTGAGTGGCTCAGGGGGACCTTGCACGGTGAGGTGTTTCCATGTATCTGCTGCCCCTGTCCTTCTGGATGGAAGTGGTCATGGGTTTGGAAGCTGCTGTCGAAGGAAATGAATAAAACAGATCCCAACAGCGACAGAGGTGTTAAACCCCAGAGAAAGCAGGTGGGGAAATATCAGAGTGACGTGTGAAAACTGGGGAACTTGGCCAGCTTTAATTTAAACAGCCCCAGGCCCTGTGCCTCCAGCTCCATCTGAGTCTGTACTGATCAGAGGAAGGAATTTCAAGAAAAGACCAAAACTCTTGAACTCAAACTGGAAACAAAACTGGGAACTTTTGTCAGGAATTTTGCTTCTTACCAAGTATGGGGACGAGTTTGTTCGCCATTGACGACCCCATCCTCGTCAGTATGCAGACAATTTGTTATGAATTGACAGGCAGTGTGCTATCAGGCACCAATCAGAGCATCTGGGTCCTAAAGGCTGCCTGTCAAGGACTACTGCAGAGTGGATCCTGGGATTGAGGGAGAAGTTGTAATTTTTATTTTCTTGTAACAGGGTGAAGGTTGTGATCAGACATCGGGGAAACCAGAGGCTCCACCCTGTTCCGCAATCAGGGCACACTGGCATCCCCACCGGGAATCTAGGATCATACCCATCTGCCAGGCCCTCGAAATGTCACTAATTGACTGTTTGAGGGTCTTCATTGCTGGTGAGTCAATACAGCCATCCATTACACTTCTTGCCCAGTATTTAACTGACAGCTGGTTAAGAAGGAGGGGTGTTGTTCTCCAGACAGAACTTTTCCAGTTATTTCCCGTTCTCACTGGTCGGATGGGGCAGGGATTCAGACCATGGTCAATGTAACTCAGTAAATCATTGGCAACAAAAATCCCACAATGTGCATTTTATACGGCAGCTTCCTTGTCCTGAAAAAGTCCCAAGGTATAAAAGCTTCAGGCCACACTCTTACTTTCTGTCAAGTTGGAGACAGCCGTGGCTCAGTTGGTAACACTGTCACCTGTAGATTCAAGCCTCACTTCAAGGTTTCAGCACAAAACCCAAGGCTGACCTTCCCAGTGCAACACTGAGGGAGTGCTGCACTGTCAGACGATCAGTACTGAAGGAGCGCTGCACTGTCGGAGGGTCAGTACTGAGGGAGCACTGCACTGTCACAGGATCAGTACTGAGGGAGTGCCACAGTGTCGGAGGGTCAGTGCTGAGAGAGTGCCGCACTGTCAGAGGGTCAGTGCTGAGGGAGTGCCACACTGTCGGAGGGTCAGTACTGAGGGAGTGCCGCACTGTTGGAGGGTCAGCGCTGAGGGAGTGCTGCACTGTTGGAGGGACAGTATTGAGGGAGTGCTGCACTGTCAGAGGGTCAGTACTAAGGGAGCGCTGCATTGTCAGAGGGTCAGTGCTGAGGGAGTGCCACACTATCGGAGGGTCAGTGCTGAGGGAGTGCTGCTCTATTGGAGGGTCAGTGCTGAGGGAGTGCTGCTCTATTGAAGGGTCAGTGCTGAGGGAGTGCTGCTCTATTGGAGGGTCAGTGCTGAGGGAGTGCTGCACTGTCAGAGGGTCAGTACTGAGGGAGTGCCACAGTGTCGGAGGGTCAGTACTGAGGGTGTGCCGTACTGTCAGAGAGTCAGTGCTGAGGGAGTGCCGCACTATCAGAGGGACAGTGCTGAGGGAGTGCCGCACTGTTGGAGGGACAGTATTGAGGGAGTGTTGCACTGTCAGAAGGTCAGTACCAAGGGAGCGCTGCATTGTCAGAGGGTCAGTACTGAGGGAGTGCCACAGTGTCGGAGGGTCAGTACTGAGGGTGTGCCGCACTGTCAGAGGGTCAGTGCTGAGGGAGTGCCGCACTGTTGGAGGGACAGTATTGAGGGAGTGCTGCACTGTCAGAGGGTCAGTGTTGAGGGAGTGTCGCACTGTTGAGGTGCTGTCTTTTCAGTGAGGCATTAAACCAAAGGTTGGGTGTAAAAGATCCCCCAGCACTGTTTTGAAGAAAGGCAGGGAAGTTTCCCTAGTGCCCTGACCAATATTTATGCCTTAATCAACATTATAAAAAAACAGATGGCCTGATCATTGGCATAATGCTGTTTGTGGGAGCTAGCTGTGCCAAAATTGGCTGCTGTATTTCCCACCTTACAACAGGGGCTGCACTTCATAAATTGTGCATAAATACAAGGTTTCTGTCTAAAGTTGGTAATGCTAGGTTCTGAGACTGGTCACTGATTCAGACTGAGCAATCCCTTTTCGTAAAATATTGTTTGAGTGTAAGGGCTTTTGAGAAAGTGACTGTGTAACTCATGGACTAAATCTTGTTCTGAATCCTGCCTGAAGGTGGAAGATTGAGAATCTCTATCAGTAAGTTGCTTTTCGCCACCTGATACTGATCTTTGGTGCGACAGAACATCACCCTTAGTATCTGCTCCAGCTCAAAGGCAACTCAACGGTTCATCTCAATCTCTCTCACACACACACAGACACACACAAAGACACACGCACACACTCTCTCTCTCACACACATACACATTCACACACAGACACAGACACACACAAAGACACACGCACACACTCTCTCTCACACACATACACACACAGACACAAACACACACAGACACACACAAAGACACATGCACATACTCTCTCTCACACACAAATACACACACACACAGACACACACACACTCACACACTGACACACACACAGACACACGCACACTCTCTCTCTCACACACATACACACACACATACAGACACACACAAAGAAACATGCACACACTCTCTCTCACACACACATACACACACACACAGACACAGACACACAGACACATGCAAACACACATATAAACACAAATGCATATACCCAATCACATGTGTATGCAAACACACACACATGCAACACACATGCATGCAAAAACACAGACATGCTCAGACACATAAGCAAACACATGTGCACACACATGTGCAAATACTTACACATGCAAAAACAAAGACACACACAGACACACACATTTAAGCTGTCTGTTTCATCCAAACTACTTCCATTTACTCTTGGGGTTCACCATAAAGTTACAGTGTGCTATTTCATTCCCATTTGTCAGTCTATTTATTTCAAACGCCTGCACAACGGAGCAATCAAAAGAAATGCTGCACAAACACGTTAACCGATGCTGCACCCAAGTACAGAACAACACGGACACCTCTAGCCAGTCAGAGTGATCAGCCACCTGCCTGAGTGTATCTGTAAAGGTTAAAATCATTATTAATGTAATCAGAGAACATTTTACTAGCTCAAAATAAAATGGACCCTGTGCTTTGAGATGAAAACCAATTTTCAACATAATAGGCTCATTCATTTTGAATACAATATGATTGGAATTATTTTTCACAGTGACGCATACACACTGATGCTCTACAATTTATTAGTGTGCACCATTATTTACTATCCTCGCTGTTTATGCCACTTTTCTGCAGTAAAGTCATATCTGACAGGCTGGACTTGAGACACACATAAGCATTGAATATCCTACTGGCCCCATTAGCTGGTGAGCACTGATGTGCTCACATGACATTCCCCCTGTCCATTATCTTAATGATGTTTTAACTTAATTGGGTTTATCACCTTCACTAAAGTATTGGACAAAAGACTGCCCACTACAGTTATTTGTCCGTTCTGATCGCTACTTACCATCTCTAGGTTACCCGGAACCTTTTCCCATAAGAATTCAAAGGAAATTCAATATTTTTCAATAAAATAGACATGTTCAGGCCTAGACAGCTCATACTCAACTTGCTCCCACTGCTGAATGAGGCCCCGAGAATGTTTCCCTTTGTGGAGGAAGACTAGAACTAGGTTTAACTAGATTCGATTAGAGTCGGGGTGGGGGTGAAGGTCATGAGTCTTTGGAAAAATCATTCACAGCGAACAGTGGGTGCCAGGTCAGTGGATACTTTTAAGGCTGAGATAGATACTTTTATTATAATCATTAATGGGAATCTGTGAGCTTTGTTGGTTAGGTTGACATTCAGTAGCCATCCCTAATTGCCCAGAGAGCAGTTAAGAGTGACATTGTAGGCCAGACCAGGTAAGGGGAGCAGATTTCCTTCTCTAAATGCCTGTCGTGAACCAGATGAGTTTTTTTTTATATTACAGTGGTTACCAGAATTTCATTCTAGATTTTTATTGCATTCAAATTTTGCCAAGGTGGGATTTGAACCTTTGTCCCAGAATATTAGCCAGGGTGTAATGACATGATCACTCCCACCCCACCTCTCCCTTGACTAACAGCAATTGGCTGTCAATGGGAATGATGTTATTGATTCTGCAATTGGGTCAGCAATGATCTTTGTGAATTGTGGCACAGACTGGATGGGCTGAATGGCCTATGTTCTTATGGCACCACCTCAACCTCATCACACACCCTCTGATTCCCTTCTCCCTCATGAGGTTTAAATACACCCCTGTGATTCTCCTTGGCCACTCAATGTGGCAGACTGTTCCACATCCCGAGGAACTGAGATGATGGTAACTGATGTGCCTGTACGGGATTAAACCCAAAATGCAATGCCACCTGATTGGAAAGATTGTTTGATCTTTGAGACGTAGAAACATAGAAAATAAGAGCAGGAGTAGGCCATTTAGCCCCTCAAGCCTGCTAACCCATTCAATATGATCATGGCTGATCATCCAACTCGGTCCCCTGTTCCTGCTTTCTTCACCCATACCTTGTGATCCCTCCAGCCCTAAGAACCATAAAACTGACCAGATTCGGTGAAATGAATAGGTAAAGAGTAAACCTTACTTGACTGTCGAGACAGTTCCAGTTGTAATGGAGTCGGCCTTGGAGAAACTGGACTTCAGAAGGTCGGTGCTGCCAAAGCCAGCCGAGGCGGTGGATTCGACACTCGCGGCCAGTGCACAAGGGCTGCTCGACAGAGGGGTGATGCCGGGGTTGGTGGGAGCCTTCCCCATGGCCAGCTTCTGGATGTTTTTAATGTCGTACTTGGATGGGCGGCCCACCTTTCCAGTTTTGAAGGCGATGGCGCCCCCCATGTCCGGGTCACCCTCACCCGGCTTGAAGAGGTGCAGGTACTTCACATTTTCCAGGTCGTACTTTGATGGCCTCTTGTAGCTGTTGCCGTTCTGGGGCCGGATGCTTTCGCCGATCTTCAGCTTCTGAATGAAGTAGTCGTACTTGGAAGCGCGAGAGAGAAGGCCGTGTGCCTGGGCCGAGGAGCCGGAAGGGGCAGTGGGGGCAGTGGGCTTGGCGTCGTGGCGAATGGGGGCTTCCTGCCCAGGGAACTGGCCTCCAGCTGGGACCGGATCCTTCCCTCCAAGTGTCCGGGAGCTCGAATCCTCAGCTTTGGGAACCGGGAGCAGCCTGGGCAGGTGCTCCCCTGCCTTGAGCTTCCGAATGTATTCCTCGTATTTGGAAATGCGCACCCTCCGAGCTAAGCTGTCCTCGCTCGGGGAGGCTGCTGGGTAGGTCTCTGAGGTAGTGGCGTTCAACTTGTCAAAACTGATCTTCTTGGCCAGCTCATCCCTGACATTCTGGTCATCGTAGCCAAACATCCCCAGGAATTCATTCATCGTGGTTGCTGCATAGTCATGGAGTGTCGATGTCTCCCCTGGGGGTGGGGGGGGTGGGGGGCGGGAGCAGGGATGGAGAAAGGGGTGGAAACCAAAGAGTTAAACATTGCAGGGACATTCAGCACAGCTCTCTGGTTTTACAGCTGCTAAATTAATTTGTAAAAAGTAATTAATACAGGGGCTAAATAAAGGGAGTTCATCAATGTCAGGAAAATCAATTTCGCTAAATGTTCGAGTCAATGGCTTCTCAGTACATTAAACAAAGTTTTCAAAAATGCTCTCTGCTCATAGCTTGACTCTGTATGTACAAAGTCATCTCCTCCGTGCCGTGTCTCGCCTTGTTTTAATTGAGCACCCGGTTTTATAGAGGACACATTTCGGGGGCTTTCCTTACTAAGTTGTTCTTAAAACCCCAGCAATGACTCATCAGAGAAGTGAATGGATCCACTTTCTTTACCTCTCACAGTTTCACTTGCAGACTGCAAAAGGAAACTGGCTTGTTTTTGGAAAATTGAGATTAACTGGGCTGATTCGGTGGACCGTCGGGAAACTGGGATGTGACCCAATTCCTCACTGGTTTCTCTCTCTGCTGTAATTAAGGAGCGTTTCACCCTCATGGTGTTTGTGCTAAATGTGGCCTTCAGGGTCCTTGGTAAATTTGTGGATGGTTAGTGTGGCCAATTCCGACTGGATGCATTTTCACATGAACTCCCACCTGCCGCAGTCCCCTCCCCAGTCACACCATCCTTTTCTCACCCTCACCCTCCACACTTTCACAATCGGTCGATAAAAATACTCAAGGTGAATAAAAACACCATTTTGTTTAAATATTACAATTTCGCCCCCTGGCAACTTGCTCGGGCAGATGTAAAAGATCCCGCGCCTCTAGTTGGATAAAGAGCAGGGAGGACCCTTCAGAGATCTAGCCAATATTTATCCTCCTGTCAACATCACAAGGTGGATGATCTGCTCATTATCCTGTTGCTGTGTGTGGGAGCTTGCCGTGTGAAAACTGGTTGCTACGCTTCCTATCTGCCAGTAGTAACTACATTTCAAAAAGTACTTCCCTGGATGTACAGGCTTTGAGGTAGCCTGTGGTCACAAAAGGTGCTGTAAAAATGTCAGCTCACAGGCCTGTCTATATTTTCCAGCTTAAGTCTCACATCCTGGGGAGCTGTCAATTGGACTTTTAAGGTAGGTTTATCATTTTTTTGCTCCTTGTTGAAGGGGCTACAATGTTATTCGACAGGACAAAATAAGTTTTCCCTTCATCTGTTTAGCAAAATGCGATAAGGAATTATAAAAGGAATCTTTCTTTTGATGGGTGAATGAACTATGTGGTGCATCTCTGAGCCATAGTAACTGGGTAGGTGCCCACTCAGTGCTGATCTTGGTAGGGATAGTGCAGGGCTGACACTATTTCTTTCAAAACCGTCAAGCTATTGAGGGAGAAAACTGCTCAGGCTCATGTGCCAAATCAGGGCGTGCGAAGATGAAGTAAAACTGTGATCAGGGAGGGCCTGCTGTCCACAATTTACCCAATAATTTCCACCCCCACCCCATGCCCACCTCCAGCATGCAGAACGAGAATTGGGAGTGAAGAGCTCTTGGTCACTGCAGAACAAGCTGCTACCTTCAGGTGGCACAAGTCAGAGACTATGGACATCATGGAATATGGGGCTAGCTCAGGACAATAGCATTGAGGGAGACGATCAACCATGAACTAGAAGGGGGAAGTACACATGAGGGGCGGAAGGGCCTACTCCTGCCTCTAGGTTCATCTAAGAGGAGAAAGTCAGCTCGTAATTCTTTTCATAGAATCCCTATAGTGTGGAAACAGGCCATTCAGCCCATCAAGTCTGCAGCGCCCTTCCAAAGAGCATCCCACCCAGTCCCTGTAACTGTGCGTTTCCCATGGCTAACCCACCTAGTCTGCACATCGCTGGACACTATGGGACAATCCACCCTAACCTGCACATCTTTGGACTGTGGGAGGAAACCAGAACACCTGGAGGAAACTTACACAGACACAGGGAAAATATGCAAATTCCACACAGAGGGTGGAATCGAACCCAAGTCCTTAGTGCTGTGAGGCAGCAGTGCTAACCACTGAGCCACTGTGCCATCCAATGTTTGGATTGATGCGGAATCTCTTTAAATTAATTGTTAATTGACTTCATCAGCACCTCCCCCATTCTGCTCCAGGTAATGGCGGCTGGCAACACTGCTTTGAGAAGATGTGCATACATTTTTGTCACCAGGAATTTCAAAACCCTGAGAGTTTTGGCTTGTAAGGAGCAACCAGGAGGGTGGGGAGAGGAGAGTTATTAAAGCTGACAGCTGTCACAGTCCATCATTGTGTTTTCTAACAGTTTAACATGTAAAGAATAATTGGTTTTGCCTCCAACCTTCCGACACATGCTCTGTGCGTACAGCTCCATGTCAGAGGAGGAGGATTCACGAGCAAACCTCTTGAATCTAACTCAATATTACAGTTAGAAGACAAGTCAAAGCACTGTTATCTTGCCGTCTTGAAAACATCACATCACCATCAACATTCGAACTGGATTTTCATTAAATACAAGAGCTTCCATCCTCAGATGTTCCTTCAAGGCACAGCTGGTATTGCACTATCTCCTCTGATGGTGAGGAAAAGAGGGTCAGGGTGAAAAATCTCAGGAAAAAAACTGTAAATCCAGTTGTTAAGCCAGGCCAAGTGGCCTTAAATGTTCTGCTAAACATGCAGCACTCAGTGCCCAATTCATATGTACAGGAGATATTACAGCAATACTCCACACGCACTTTTTAAAATTAATTCACAGGAAGTAGGCATCACTGGTGAAACTGGCATTTATTGCCTAACCCTATAAAACTGACTGGGTTGCTTCAATTGTGAGGGAACCAGCAGTTTGCTATGGGTCTGGAGTAATGTCAGACTGAGTGAGTGGTAAGTGGGGGACACAGTGGTGTAGGATGTAGAGTGATGCTAACGGTGTGGGTTCAATTCCTGTACCACCTGGAGCCACTTTCCTTCTCAATTTCTCCCCTCCCTGAGGAGTGGTGACCCTTAGGTTAAATCACCACCAGTCGTCTCTCTCTAACGAGTCAGGGGCCCTACTGTCCTCTGGGATTATAGCAACTTTACCTGACCTTATCCTTTAGTGGTAGTGCTATTAGATTAGTAATTCTAGGCCAATGCTCTGGGGTTGTGTTCAAATCCCACCATGATAGGTGGTGAAATTTCAATTCAATAAAATCTGGAATTAAGAGGTAGTTTTAAAATGACCACTCTCAATTGTCATTACAACCCAACAGGTTCACTCATAGCCATTAGGGAAGGACAGGACCCAGTCTGGCCAACATGAGACTCCATACCCACAGCAATGTGATTGACTTGTTGCTGCCCTCTGAAATGACCCCAGCGAGCCATTAGGGGCAATAAGGGATAGGGAATAAATGCAGGCCCAACCAGCAATGCCAACATCCCATGAATGAATGTTAAAATTCACTAGAGGATGGCACAGTGGCTCAGTGGTCAGCACTGCTGCCCACAGCACCAAAGACCTGGGTTTGATTTCACCCTCGGGCATCTGTATGGAGCTTGCACATTCTCCCCGTGCCTGTGTGGGTTTCCTCCGGGTTCTCCAGTTTCCTTCCACAGCCTAAAAATGTGCAGGTTAGATGGATTGGCCATGCTAAATTGCCTGTAGTGTTCAGGGATGTGCAGGCTAGGGGGATTAGCCATGGGAAATGTAGGGTTATAGGGGTAGGTGGGACTGAGTGGGATGCTCTTCAAAGGGTCAGTGTAGACTCGATGGACCAAATGGCCTGCTTCCACAATGTTGGGATTCAATAATTAAAAAACGGCCATTAGTGATCCAGGTGAGTTTTCACATTGATCCAATGGTTTTAGGGTCACTGTAACTGACACTAGATTTCTACCCTGGAATTATTTAAATAACTGAATTTAAATTTCCAACTACCACAGAGGGATTCATATTTACATCTCCAGGCGATTTGCCTAGTCCTCCGTTTACTCATCCCGTAACATAACCACAAAGCTGCCTTTCCCTTGTTCTTAAAGCTCTCACTTGCTTTAACCAGCTGAATGTAAAATGATAGGTATTTCCCTACATTAACTGTAGACGCTCAGTAACCAGCAGAAACTGAGCAGTAGAAAGTGAGTACAGGGTTTTTATGCAAAGGAGAAGTCTGGATCCACCTCACCTACAAAGCCCTGCAGGCTCTGGATGAGGTAAGAACTCCAAAACTGGTGGATTTTTCATAAGTAAGAGTATGAAGGGTGACATAAACAAGTTAGGAAGATGGACTGTAGATGCAGAGAAGCTGTGATCTAATTGAAGAGTTTCCTCCTGGTCCTATCTTCCTAATTTTGGGACTAAATTCAGTTTCCAAACACTCATCTTGCCTCTTAAATAATGCTTGTTCTATTAACTAATTCATTCATGGGATGGAGGCGAGCCAGCAATTTATTGCCATCTCTAATTACCCAGAGGGCAGTTAAGAATCGACCACATGGTGTGGAGCCACATTCAGGCCAGACCAGGTAAGGACAGCAGCTTCCTTCCTTAAAGAACATGAGTGAACCTGACAGGGTCCATCTAATGACAGTGGTCACCATTAGATGTAGCATTTTTTAAAATTCTAGATTTTTATGGTATTGAATTGAAATTCCACCATCTGCTGTGGTGAAATTCAAATCTATTTCCCCCAAATATTAGCCTGGAATTCTAGACAACAAGGTGCAGAGCTGGATGAACACAGCAGGCCAAGCAGCATCAAAGGAGCAGAAAGGCTGACGTTTCGGGCCTAGACCCTTCATCAGAAATGGAGGAGGGGAAGGGGGTTCTGAAATAAATAGGGAGAGAGAGGGAGGTGGATAGAAGATGGATAGAGGAGAGGATAGGTGGAGAGGAAACAGACAGGTTGAAGAGGTGGGGATGGAGCCAGTAAAGGTGAGTGTAGGTGGGGAGTTAGGGAGGGGATAGGTCAGTCCAGGGAGGACGGACAGGTCAAG